CAGTGATTCTGCGGAAGGAGCCAATTGTGGCACATGTGGCACCCCAGTTTACAAACTTGTGATATTCACCAGGAGCCATGAAATACTGACAACCTAGAAAGCCAGAGTGTTCATAGAAGGTCCAGTGGCCCTCCATGACATTGCAAGAGTGAATGCTGTGACAATGGAAACTTTGATGAATGGATTCGCAGTCATCATTGAATTCCATCATCTGACCTTGGAAATCTGGCCGATCGTATATATGGATTCAGTGAGGTCCTTCACTATTCTGAAAAACAGTTGAGCTTTAAATTCAAAGTTTGTAAAGTATAGGGTGTACAGTCCTGGTGCTGGAGGCCTGATGTTTCACAGACTTTGTCTCAAACACATCTCTGCCTGGTAATTTCTAATGAACTTGGAGACTCTAATTAACTTAGTGTGTTTAATAAGGCTGGAGCTAAACTCACAGCGGCCCTTCAAAACCAGGTTTGAACACCCAAACATACAGTTTGAATGTTTAAACATGCGTACAAAATTATTTGTGGCAGAACAATAAACATCAAAGATGGAACAAAATATTAAAGGCAACGAATCATATACAAGAACTGACTAAATATATTATGAAAGCTTTACAGGCATATCACTCACAGAACAAATTACGGCATGAGCAAATAGTGTCATTGTAGCCCATCCAAGAGTGATACTCAGGATATTCTTCTTTGGTTAGCACATACTGGTGTCCAGAGTAGTTGGGCCTTTCATACAAGACCCAGCAGCCGATCTCCACCCTGGCAGAGTTGCATCGGATGAAATGAGGTTTCATGTCTGGGCAGTCACATTTAAAGGAGCAACCCTGGAAGTTTTTCTCCTCATAAAAGATAATCTGTGAGTGAGCGATGTCACTGATAACAGCAGTACAGACAAATGTAATGTGTTTGTTTATACAATTGTAAAAAAGTCAAAAACTAACTAAATTTCCTTTAGAATTACAAGACACAAAGTTATCATCTTCATCAGTTTCATTTACCTTACTCATTTTGATGTGAGTCTCAGAAGTGGTAAACAAGAGAAACAGTCAAACAAATTAGGGCAGGAGGTCTGCTTTATAAATGTCCATTAGCATGGTGGACCTAACTTTATTTGTCCTCTCAGTGACTGGGATTTGGCACTCTGATGCCGCTGCCAACCTTCTAATCCCAACCATAGATGTAAAAGCCCTGATTCATCAAATCAAAATTCCTAGCTGGCAAATAACTGACCTCAGTTACCCTCCTCTGTTTTGATCCAGAGTGTAATGAATTGCTTTACACAATGAAATTATTGGTCTCAATAAAAATGCATCAACACATCCATAACTATTTATAATGTATTTGAAATAGTATTTCATCAGCTTTATTGATAATTGTTAACATTATACAAATAATAAAACTAACGCCAGTGGATTCACGCACCAAAGAGTAAAACTACCTTATTTACCCACCATCATGCTTTTTAAACCTTTATAAGCTTCTTTCTTCTCTTGAACACAAAATAGGATATTTTAAAGAATACTGGTTGCTGGAAAACATTGGCTTCTGTAGTAAAAAAAAATGCAATGAAGCTTCCTATTTTACCCATTTGGTGTCTTCAGAATGTGTCTGTAAAGTTTCAACTCAAAATACCCCTCAGATAATTTATTATAGCCTCCAGAATCTGCCCATTTTGGTGTCTGAATACATTGTAGCTGTTTTTGTAGCCTGTGGCTTTAAATAGAAATGAGTTGGTACTGTCCACCCACAGTTCCCGCGTGCCTTTTTTAAATTTTATTGTTGCACAAAGTTTACATCACGAAACAGGGAAAAATCAACATCTCAAGGCATGTTTACTATTAAAATAAATAAAAAAAATTGCAATTATTACACCTGCAACAGCAACAAGAAGCAATACAAAAGACCTACATCAAAGGAAAAAAATTACAATAAATATTCTGAAAATGAAGTACAAGTCAGTTATTTTATTTTGGTTTCTGAAGTATTTGAAGCCTTAAGCAACTTGCCCTACCTCAGAAAGAAAACATGTAAAAGAGGGCCTGCATTTTTTCATTTACAACAATGAATATGATATTTACCCATTACTAAAATAAAGTTCACAACATCAGAAAAAGAAAAATGTAAATCACACTCATAAAATAAAATATCTTCTAGAACAATACAAGGGACTGAAATCATCTTTACTGTAAGCCAAATGTAGAAGTCAAACCAGAATTTAGAAGTAAATTCACAAGAAAAAATAAGTGATCAAGTGTTTCTGGAAGATTTGAACAAAAGCTACACTCGTCAGCATCGAAGTTAAATCTTTGTTGAAGAAACTCATTCACATGATATTTCCTAAATAAAATTATGTAATGAGTTTCCTTAACCTTGGGTGCTACAGGACATTTAAGATAAAAAGTAAAAGCCTTAACCTCTACTAAAGGTTCAACAACTCCTAGATGATGTAGGAGTCCATCTATTAGCCCAATGACAAAACTAACAGCATGGTCGAAGGTTTAATGCCTGTAAGCCTTTTCTAGTGCTTCTGAAAATAATTTTATTATTTATTAGAATTTATTTATATTAGTTTTTTAGCTCCGAATTCAATCTGACTCCAATTTAAATGATCCTAAAATTTAGATTGTATTTCTAATTGTAAGAACGGATCACATTCATCATTTATGATTTAATTTAGAGTTTTGATATTTTCTGAGGTTCGATATTCTAATTGTACGTTCATTAGGGACCTATGTCGCTCAGAGTTTCACGCCCCGGGTTTGCGCTTCTTCTCACGGACAATATGTCGGCACTCTGAAAATAGTCAGAGGAAGCAGGATTAATCATATTTGAAGAAGCTGGTCACATTTATGCTTACCTAGTCTTAAAAAACAGATCCTTAGCCAAGCCCATACAACTTGCTACTTCCAGTGGTTGAATGACTAAAAGGTCTACATGTTATCGGCATGCAATGGCTAACAATAATCAAATGTGCCTATTAATCAATTCAATTATGCCATACTATAAAGGTAATGAAGACTCCTCTAATCTACTGTATACAATGAATTCGCAAAACTCCAGAATTAATCAAAACTTAATATTTTATTTGTCAGGTAAAATTGTATTATGCCAATTACATAATAAATCATCAGGAAGCCAATTCAGAGATGAGACTGTAACAATACAACATCCATTAATCAAAGATAAATCAAAGAGTTAAGAGATGCATACCTGACCAGAGAAATACATTGCAGCATAAGTCTCAGAGATGCTGCAATGGGGTGTCTTTTTACAAGATCTCCCCCTGTCTTAAAGCACATCTTACCTTATATACTCAAGTCAAAACAAACAGCCATAAATTCTAACAATAGAAGTGTCACAGAAACCCTGGCCTGGTGAATTTGAGGACTTAACCATCTCTGAGGAGGGAGAGCATCTTATCAAGATCTTATAGAAGTCAAAAACCAAATCAACATAAACCAGTGAAATAATACTGTAAAATTAAGACCACTTTACCAATCACACAGAGACATTTAAAATGATACCAAACATGAATATAGTGCTACAAGATACACCATATTAAAACCTTGAACATTTTATGTGAAATGTGCTCTAATCAGAAGGTAACATAAGGGTCAAGAAGGGGGGCTTAGGTGGAAGGAGAAGGGTGACTTCTTCGCATCACCCACTGCTGTAATGTAGCTCTGTTTCTCCAGCCTGTGTTTGCATTGTCAACAGTGATTTGAATAGAACAGTTAAACAGCTGGTTTCTTCATCACTTCTCTTGTCTAATGAAATTCCACAATAGTTCTGAGGGTCTGATATTTTGGATCCTTACAATGATAACATAATCACCCATGCATAATAATGAGTTTAAATTCTTTGTAAATAAGCTTGTTGTATATTTACTATTAAAATATCAACATTTGATATTTTAAAGGCGGAAGAGAAGTAACATATGTACATGGGGGATCAAAATGATTACTTTGATATACAGTTCATGCATGCGTGTATCTCATCATGTATTACGTCAGATAAACAGCACAGTGACAGAGACACGGAAGCTGAAATACAGCTCATTAGTCAAAAATACCAAGCAAGTTAATTTCATGTATTTGTGGTGAAGTTTATTCAAGCCTTTCTGAAATGATGAGTCTCACACAAATGCTGTTTGGAGTACACACAAACACACATATTAGCGTTTACTGACACCATGTGGCCGTGGTGATTATAGTGGTTAAGAATTAGATAGCAATTTTACTGTCTTTATTACAAACATGCTCTGTTTTAAACAGGTTTTAAACTATAAAAAGCACAGAGAGTAGTAACATATTTTAATCCGTTTATTTGCGAAAAAAAAAAAAAGTTCTGTGGACGCGTGTATGTTATTATAGAAACATGGTGCCTGTCAATCAATTTGGTCGGTAGGAAAACTGCACTTCTATGTCACATTGCGGTGGGCCTCAAAATCAATGGGATTTGAGTGCTAATTTAAATTCAGGAAATTATAAAAAAAAAAGATTTGTTGGGTTTATATCAGTGAAAGTGGACACACTTTTAATATTGTACTATACAAACACTATAAAATACAAATGAAATCAAAATTAGCCATATTGAGTTTGTTAGCTCACATAGTTTTGTGGTAAAACAATTTATCTGAACGTGTCATTAAGAAAAATGTTTAAGGTATTGGGCATTATTAACATACTGTAACCACACCCCTCCAACAGTCAGTTGTCAGTTTTGACGACAAACAGAAATGGTGAGGAGGTGTTTGTTGTTGTCATACCTCTTCTAAAACCCATTTGAACGAAACACCTACTTAACTACTGTACATCTATTCAGATCCCAGTAGAATAAAAACAAGCCACGCTCATTTAATTTTCTTATTTAATAATACATATATATATACATATATATATATATATATATATATATATATATATATATATATATATATATATATATATATATTTTTTTTTTTTTTTTTTTATAAAAGCAATTGCAGCTTCCGGTTTATGTGGACTTTAATGGGTGCCAGCTACCAGCATTTTTCAAAATAACTACTTTGGTGTTCAACAGCAGAAAGAAACTCAAAGTTTAAGTTGAGGTGAACTATCCCTTTAAATGTGTAAAGACTGCGTGTTTAATAAACCATGCTGTTGTTTTCAATCCTGCAGAGATTCTTGTGAGCCTTCATAGTGAGCAGTTGCATCTTTTAAAGATTCTTCACTGTCCTGTATTTGACAAAACAGGTACAACAGTTACAGTACACAGTTTGAGCACTTGATGGCAGTAGTTATCAACTTTTCAATGAGTACGCTCTCAATGCTTTCAATGGAAGCATTAGGGCTCAACTGACTGACACTCACACTGAATGAGGAGCTTGAAGAGGACCTGGAGGAGGACTTCGATGTTTCTGACACCGGAGAGACCTGCTGCTTATCCTGTTCCTTGATCCAGCGTTTCAGAGCTTGGACTGGTAACAAAACAAAATGATGAAAAAAGAAAGCATTTGTTCGCTCTATATTTTCATCAGTATTGCTTCCATATTATGAATTTTGGTTCATATAAAATGTCACATACTGTGTTTTTTTTGAGCAGTCCACTGCTTTGAATGAACTAAGCATGGCGAATGGATGATAAGAGAGGGAAAACGGGTGCACGATGTTGCCCTGTTAAGGAAAAGGCTGTGTGGTTATTTCCTTTTTACAGATAATTATAGATAATTAACTTAATTTTTAAAGTAACTTAGTTGTTAATTAACTGAATTATTTGTTCATTTTGATTTAATGCATAAATGAATCAGCTTTCACAAATTTTATTTATTAAACACAGGTTTGACTTTTTTCCATATTGAATATTAATTGGTCCAATTGTCATCCAACATTTGCTCAAATTAACTACGATAAATGTCATACCTTGGCATCATTATGAGGGTAAGATGCAGATGGTTTGCAATTGTACAGAAACAGAATATCTTCTAATGGTAAGTTGTTCTGAAAATGAGGTGAAACCTGGTTAAAAACCAAAAGAAATTGCAACAGGTTCTTTACCCTTATTATTGACCTTACCAGAAGCATTCCAGCAAAGGAAGAAAGAATCATTGCTTCTCTTTCCAAGCGATTGGGATACTGGCTAAAGTGTCCTAAACTGGCACTTCCTCTACAAGTACAGTTCATGGGCAAATGAGGCACAAATATTTGTAAAAGCACTGCATACATACACCATAAAATGTCTGTGGTAAAAAAAAAAATCTTTAAAAATTATACATTAAAAAAATCTGTAACTTGGTTAAAAGTTTTTATTAATAAAAACGGTGAACAACCATAAACTGACTTCCCAGAATTCTGTGTGAAGTTTTTTTTTAATCAGTTGTGTACATTAAAGGTACATCTTCTTTGGATAAATAATTGATCATGCTGGTGTATAGTAGTTATGTAAACGAAAGTGACTGTCTTCTATTAGAATGTATTCTACTCACATATCATTATCAGCTGTATTCAATCCTTCATCTTTATTGAGCCTCCACAAAGCCACACTTATAGCCAAGTCATAATGTGCCTAAATTAATCAGACAAGTTTCATTCTGAACATGATCAGCAATACATACATGTTCTATTGTGACGTTGTATAACATTTTAACATTTAAAAAAATAAAATAAATAAAAGTTCTAGTCATAGAGATTGTACTGGTCCTTTAATGTGGATCAATTACCAAATCATCCAACATAGTAGAAGTGCTTTTCCCCTTTGGATCAAAACTATCTTCTCTGAATCGTCGTCCAATATATTCACCACTAAAAGAGTTTAGGAGACATATCTTTCTGTAGTCGTTACAAGTTTTAAACATTATTTTAAAGACAAGCCCTCACAAAATAACTATTTCACTAATCTAGATTCAACTCAATGCATTTTAGGCTACTTACAGCAAGGTTTTAACATCCCTCTTGACTCGCTTGGCTTCCATATTTCAGACTCTCGCTGAGACACTTATTAATAAGAAGGTGTTTATTTAAACTCAGTCTGAAACAATAATTTAAATCCACTTATAAAATGATTGCTGAGAATATGAAATGGACATTGCAAATAAAACAAGTTTAACAAGTTCACCTTAGTGGTTAATCCTTTGCCAGGGGCAACACTAAACACATGAAGAAAACTCCAAGCTCAGTTGTTTCCTATTAACAGGAAAAGTTAGATGAACATTTGACAGGGTATAAAACAAACAAGGGTTAGATTACCCAACACCTAAAGCATGACAAAAACAAGCTCTACAAACACTGAATACATTTTAAAAAGAACTTATGCTGTATAGAAAAGACCACAGTTTAATATAATCCATCGACTTTAACCTTGATGCAAAAACACACTTCACCTGTACAAACAGAAAACCAACCTGCCTCATGAATACTAAATACACATAGTTGTATACAAAGATGACTTACCTAAAATTCTAGCACAGATTCTGGCACAATAAGAGAACTACGCATGAGAGGGTTCGGGCTGCTTTCAGACAGCATAAACTGGTAGAACAGACACTCCTACTTGATCTCAGAACTGTAGTCATCTCATGTGAACAGTCCTCTAAATTATTAATTCAGTCCTTCAATCACTTTAACGCTGTCGGCCAGTGTTTGGTTACATAACACACAGATACAACTGCTCAATAGCATGTATATGAAAGCTGCTGTAAAGGGTCCTGAACACAACTGACTTTTATACGATTAGCAGGAATGTAGCACAGCTACAACGTAGAATCAATGTTAAACTACACATAGAGCAGATTCTCTTTATTAAACACTAAAATAAATATGTAAAATTCAAACAATGTTTCCTAAATACACAAAAAAAGGAAAGCTGAGATCCAATGCAATATTACCAGCTGCAGGTAAAATACTTTAAAATCAAACTATTAAACATTTTCATTACATAAAAAGACAAACTTAAAAAAAAAAACATGTCATGGGGACAGGGGGGTTTATCACTCCGAAATGAGTTTCTTCTTTTTCTTCTTTTTATCTTTGAACACTGGAGAGTTTAAGAATTGTGTATCAGTGTACTTGTCCCCTCGCCTCATTTTGCTGCAAAAACAAATAAATAATTAACAAAAATGATTATTCTGCATCAAGGATGAAAAATATTATACTTTTTGATACTGTTCTATTGAAGGACGACTCACCAGTTGATTTTTGGCTCTTTGTAGGTGACTGGTGTTGCTCGTCTTCGCGGTCTCCCTAAATCAGCATTAACTGTGTTTGTTAGACTCTTCATTACCCTTCCTTCTTCTGTTTGAGGTATAAACAAAAAAATATATATTAAAAAAATTATCATCAAAAACCACATCAGAATGATGAAGTTTAAAAGTGAAAAGATTATGCATCTGTATTAAAAATAGAAAATGTTCAGTTCCTAAAACATCCCTTTTCATCCCTGTGCTCTCAATGCAGTGTTTTTTTAGTATTCATCACTTACACAACCAATCAAATGTTTAAGGTGAGTAGGATTCTTAAATGTTTTAAAATAAGCTTCTCCTGCTCACCAAGGCTGCGTTTATTTAATCAAAAATACAGTACAAATTGTAAAAAGTTATTGCTCTATAAAATACCTGCTCAAAAGTAGTTTATCGTTTAATTTAATCATTTCAGTGATTTTCAAGATGAATTTTCAGCTTCATTACTTCAGTCTTCAGACTCGCATGATCCTTCACAAATCACTCTAATAATAATAATTATTATTAATGGTAATAGTAATAAAAGCAATAATGACTGTAGAAATGATTTCATTTAAAACTACATACAATAAGAAAGCAGTTATTTAAAATGTTAATAAATATTTACCTTTCTTTACATTTTATAAATGCTGCCTTGATGAAAAGAATCACTTTCATCATTAAAAAAAGTATGTGAAAAAAGTATTAGTGTATGTTTTTACTCTAAACCAGACAGAAAATCAAAAGTACCATAGATGCCAGCAAGATGATATCCAAGCTTTGTTGGTGGCCATACAAGGGCACCCCTTATCTTTTTTTATTTCTTTAAAATAGCTTGAGTTTACAAACCATATTTTTTCATAATTTCACAGTATGAAATAAATATATTCTCAAGCCATGGAAAATAACAAAGGTTTCTACCAGCTTTAAATCTTTTACTCTTCCTAAATTACAATAAAAAATATACAATAACAAAAATAAGAAGAAGTGAAAAGATTTCTATTTAGGAACTTTTCAGCGATATACAGTTTTTCCCGATTACATTCGTATTTAAATTGCAATCTACTGATGTAAACTACTGACATAGATGTAACATATGAAGTAAAATCCCAGCGGTTTAGAAATGTATGCTTATTTATGTTGATTTGCTTTAAAGCATGGGTTTAAAGTTACAGTGCTCCCATTTATTTTGATTAATTTAGCTTTTTTAACATGTAAAAGCCCACCAAAACTCAAATGTCATATGTGAGTAAAATTGTCCCCTTGTTTGTGAGTGCACTGCTCTGCATGCCTCTGTCACATTCAGTAACATGAATGAGGAATGATTTTGTTCATATGGCTTATTCTGGCTTTATCTTTACCTGTCATTAGAACACACAGATATGGTTGTTCGTTCACGAATTAACTGCTGCATTGCAAGAGAATTCTTGCAATCTAAGCAAGAGCAATTACATAATATTCAGACAAAAAGGTGCTCTTTGGTTTTCAACTATTATAACTAATGTGCTAAAGAGTGACTGTTTTGAGGTGAACTTGAGCGAAATTTCAGTGTTTGCCTATGACCAAATGAACCAAACTAACAGAGAAAAGGTTGTTTTCAATTTTGAAGCAAGTGTTCCAAACAAACCAGGTATTAAACGATCAAAGAATAACATATAAGACTTACCTGGTAATTGAGTCTTAAAGCTTGAGTCCTGGTCCTCATAAATGTTGATAGTCTGAACTCTAGTCTGTGGTTGAGGGCTGTGAGCACAGCTTTCATCTGAGAGCATCACACTGCAATCCTCAATGGCCTCCCAAGGAGGTCTCTCTTCTGTGAACTGAAGGTCCTCACTAAAACAGCCTAAAGTCATATTATATTTATCCATGGTAAATGGACTAGTGCTCTTTACAGAAGAAACATCTGTTTTATTAGAGAGATGATCCTGTTCAAAAATGGAAAACGCAGCATCAGCCATTTCTTCACAGGCCGTATTGTCAGAAGATGAAGTCATATACATTTTCCTGAATCTGCTCTCTTGTTCTTGGTTAGTTTGATTCAGACTTATGTAAGGAACATCCATGTTGATATGGCCAGTCTGATCAGCCTTGCCAACAGATGAAGGAGAGCTTATTTCAGGCATTTCTGCATGGTGATTATCTAGGAGATCCTCCTCTGCGGCTAAGCAATGAGATTTCCATGGTGGTAGTAAAACATTAGACAAAGGCCTGCATTCAGCTGCTTTCTGAAGACTAATCACATCTGGACTTCTGGTGGACACATTTTCATCCACATTCACAGGACATTTTTTTGGTTTCTTTGTTAATGAATTGGATTTTTCTTTTGTTGGAACATTCCGATCTTTAATTCTATCTGCTCCCTCTTTCCTAGGCTTCTTAGCTTTACCCGGCACTGATGTAAATTCAGAGGTTTCCTCTACAAGACCGATTTGCAAATCCTGTAAATGTTCCCTGTTGTAAGCTTTTTTCTTTGATCCGTCATGAGAAACAGGCTCTGGCTTCTTGTAATGTTGTGCGGTGACATCTAAACCAATATTTAGAGGTGATGTTTGGGTTTCTACTACTTCCAGTAAACCTTTTGCTTTGTTAGAATCATCAAATATATTGCAATCTGTCAATGCTGAACTCCTGTTGATTGAGTGACTTGTTTGTATCACATAAGTTCCTCTCTTTTTCTGTGTATTGTTCTTTTCAAACTGAGAAAGCAGGTGCGCTGGAGTTTTATTTGTGTGTGTTTTGACTTCACTGAGATGCTTATCAGTACCTGGATCTTCTGAGCATACACTAATGGCAGACTCCACATTTTCATCCACAAACAATGAACTGAGATCCATCATAGGTTTTGAGACTTTGGTCCTCCTGCTCTTCTCAGATTTTAACCCATCGTGAACTACAAATGTTCTTCTTGGTTCATGGGTGTCATTAGTCTCTTTTTCTTTGTTTTTTACCGTTTTACTCGAAGGTTCAGAATTCTCAAGCTCAAGATCATTACCACAATCGTTTAAAATATTACTAGGAGGATCTTTGGAGACTGTATATGTTTTTCTTAGATCTTGGTTAGGTTCTTTCGGTTTACAGGTGCGCCTTTTAGAACGAGAGGTGATATGAGTTTTCCTGCGAGCGGATAGTAATTCTGTTTCCTGGCCATTCTGAACAGTGGTAGAGCACTGCTGTGTCACAGTGGTCATATCTTTTGGCACAGCTATTGAATAATCTGATGAAAATTGAATTAGCGAGTCTTCCACTCCAGATACACCATCACTACCTTTTTCAGACAGACACACATTCTCCTTTATCTGATGTTCATCTGTAACTCTAGAGGTTCCTGCGTTTGTTTCCACTGTCAGAATTTCAGAAGGATTGTCACTCATGGTAATATCCATTCTAGAGTCATTTATGGTGTTTTGAAGTGCTAAATTGTCTTCCTTTTGGTTGGGAGCATCACTATCTGTAGCTCCTTTGACCATAGCAGTATTCACTGATTCAGACTCAACATTATTATGATGTTGTGGACACAATGTTAGTCTATTTGGCTCTCGTTCAACCTCTTTCTCCATTTCAAAATTCTGACCTAAAAAAAAAAACAGACAAAAAGCAAACCAAGATTATTAAAATCACATAAACTTTTAATGTGTTATCTGTAATCTAAAAGGTGCATAACATTGGTTTACATAAATTAGGATGATATAATATCAATCACCCACACTTAAAAAAAGGCCAATTCACACGGCACCACCACACACTGACCAACACAGGATTACAATGTGTAATTTCTCAGACATTGCAAAACACAGCAAAACAACGTGTGC